AAATTTTAATATGCACAAAACCGAGATATGAAAAATTTTTCTATAGTCCTTATCCTTCTCATCGTATACCTTTGTCTTTTTCGTAATCATATGGAAGAAAAAAAAAAAAGAGATAAAGACAGAGAGAGAGAGAGAGAGAGAGAGAAAGAGAAGAATGAGAAAGGTACAATGAGACAATAACAGAGATCGTATGAGAGAAAGAGAGATAGAACGATGGTGAGTTATATATCTAACGAAAACGTCGAAATATAAAATAAATAACAATTACGATAGAACCTTATTTTATCTTATGGCATCGTCGTCTTCATCATCCAGTTTCACCTTTAGCACTTTGCAGATGCGAGACTGAATTTTTCGAATAAATCATGACGAAAATACTTACTCGGTGTGTATGCTAGGAGCTCTCTCAGTGGTGTGCCCATGCACTGTGCCGATAAATTATTCCTCGTGCGGGTTTTCCAACGCTCTGCAGCACTGCCCGTCCGATCCCGCATCCTCTCGTATTGCCCCTCACAGTCCCTCTGGTCTATCCTTCTCCTCCCCCGCACCATCCCCTTTTCCCCTTTGCCAATCTCCTCTCACCTCTCTCTTTTTCTCACATTCGTACTCTTTCTCTACGAGCATCCGAGCCGTTCTCTCCCATCTGTGCCGGTATTACACCAATGCAAAATTTATACCCCCTTCCCCCCTTTCCTAGCCACCCATTCCTCCCCATTGTTCCTCCTCCTCTTCCTCCTCCTACCCTCCTCCTTCTCCAACCCCGTATTTATTCATTCATTTATTCTACCGGTTTGTTTATACGTGTCTCGCCTCGATGCGAGTAAAACGAGAAATCATTTTTGACCGGTTTGCTCTCTCTCTCTCTCTCTCTCTCTCTCTCTCTCTCTTTGTCTATCTATTTTTATCTATCTCTATCTATCTATCTATTCGTCCGTCTGTCAATCCGTCCCATGTCTCTTTGCATTTTTCGTACGGTTTTGCGTATTCGTCCGTTCGTCATTTTATTGTTTTTTCTTTTTTTTTTTTTTTTTTTTCATCCGTCCCCTCTCTTTTTTCTTTCCTTTTTCTTTTTCCTTTCTTTTTTCTTTTTCCCCACAACGACGACGACAGCAACAACAACAATAACTCGGCTTACAATAGAAATATTGAAAACAAACGATACTCCTTTGGACTTGAAGGTAATGGAGTAGGTCATGCTTTTGTAACAGTTCGTTGAGGAAGAAATCAAGAGAGAGATAGAGAGAGAAAGAGAGAGAGAAAGAGAGAGAGAAAGGGTGAGACTAAAAACACGCTTTTGGATTCGAAGGTTTCTTTGAAAATAATGGAGGTCGAGGGGTAGCCGAAGACTCGAGTGGAAGTGCTAGAATGGGTATCGATAAACGTTCCTCTTTTACACCTACCTTGCTATCGATATCTCTTTTAACCACCCTCTCTTTTTCTCTCTCTCTCTCTCTCTCTCTCTCTCTTTCTCTCTTTCTCTTTATATATATATATATTTTTTTTTCCCCTTTTGATCTTGATCATTCACAGTTCATTCCTTCGTAGCGATCTTAATAAACCGTAAAATCTTATTAATTTTAATTATTTAATATTAATCTCATTAATCTAATTATTTATAAATTGTCGATCTTATTAGCGAAACAATATGACGTAAGTGAGTACTTTAATGGATTACATTTACCTCGAATTTTCTCTCCTTTTTTTTCTTTTTTTTCTTTCTCTTTCATCTCGTTTTCCACGTTATCTCATAATATAATACTATATAAGTATACTTACATACATATATACATGCATATATATATATATATACACACACACACACACACACATACACATACAGACATATACACAAACACACACATATTACATATATACATATATACATATACCTATCGATTTTACAATCTCCTCTTTTATCCTTTTAAATCTTTCGTTATCGCGTTTTCAAGTTAAACGAGTAAGGAAAAGAGAGATAAAGAGATAAAAAGAGAGAGAGAGAGAGAGAGAGAGAGAGAGAGAGAGAGAGAGAGAAAGAGAAGTAAGATGGAAGAAGAAAAGGATAAGAAAGAAAAAGAAGAATCGCGATTATAAAGCCGGCACACGATTTCTCGATGCTTCGAGTATTCCTTTAGCTTTTCAAAGTACCACTTAGATCGTCGTTACTCCTTGAGCTCTAACGATCTTAGGATCTTCCTTCTACATCTTTCTACCTCTTGGTATTTCTCTCTCTCTCTCTCTCTCTCTCTCTTTCTGTCTCTTTATCTTTGTCTTTCTCATCAGTGATATGTAACATATCGATAAAAACGTTCTTACCTCGCGTTTTCGCTACGTGCCGGTTTTAGTAAGGACGACGATAATGGCTATCAGAAGTGTCAGGGCCTCGAATCCGTATCTGTCGTTAAGGAAAAGCTAACGACACCTTTTATCTCGTCGTTTTCTGGATAAGAAATAATGTCATCTTGAAAAATGCTCTTTGTTTCTTTTTTTTTTTTTTTTTATTTTTTATTTTATTTTATTATTACTTCACGTTATTCTCTTTTCCCTTCTTCTTTCTTTTCAATCTATCCGTGGAAAGTGGAAAAGAAATTTTTTTTTTTTTCTTTTTCTTTTTCTTTTTTATGAAAGACGACGTTTATTACAAATGGCCAATTATCCATGATACTTTTCATAATTTGTATTCTTTTTCCTTCTATTCATTGTATCTAAATATTTATAATATTAATAATATTATAAATATAAATATAATTTAATATTTATAATATTAATAATATAAATATTTGTCGTATGTAATATCCTTTTTTTTTTTTTTTATCGTTATCACGTATCTAAATATTTTCATCCTTTAGGAAAAAAGATTTACAATTAATTTTCTCTCTCTCTCTCTCTCTCTCTCTCTCTCTCTCTCTCTCTTTAATATCTAAGTATATAGTTTATCTCAAAGAACGTTTTCATTTACTACTTATCGTTAAGAATTAAGTATTGCAATCTAAATCCGATCGTTTGTTGAAGTGAAAGAAGACACCGCAGTGGTCTAGACATTTTCTATTTTTTATTTACTTTTTTCTCAACTTAAAAGATCGATCATTCATTACGAACACACACATACACATACACGCACAGACACACACACACACACACACACACACACATATATATATATATATTTCCTTCGTTAGATGAACGATCGGTAGGATTAATCTGAAAGGATTACTAGCACCCTGCTATGGAGAAAAGTCATCTATTAATCACCGATCGGATCATTAACCCTTGGTAAAGACAAAATATGGCATTTACCTCTAAAATCTTCCTTTTTCACGAGCCAACCCAGACGTAGACTTTGCTCCCTTCACGACCCTTCACTACACTTTACTATCCCCATTCGATTCGTCTCCTCCACCTCTTCTTCTTCTTCTTCTTCTTCTCTTTCTCGTTTCTCTACTCTTCGAGCAATAGTTTTTCTCTCTCTCTCTCTCTCTCTCTCTCTCTCTCTCTCTCTCTCTCTCTCTCTCTTTCTCCTAACAAAGAGAAAAGTTCGTGAACTCTCACCGTTACTCCTCGTTCGAAAGCATAAATCTTTTTTTTTCGGGAGTGCACGTTGTAATTAGCAAACATTCCGTAGCTCTATCCCAAAATGTTCGGTTCTCGTATTTCAAGGATGTATATGTGCGTCATGTTTATGCGAGTATTTGTATGTATATGTATATATATATAGAAATTACATAGACTTTTCACACTGGCCAAGGCTGAGTGTCGTTATATTTTTTCTTTTTCTTTTTGTTTTTTGTCCTTTTTCCTTTTCTCTTTTTTTTTTTATTTTTTTTTTTTTGCGAATTAAGACGTCCGAATAATAAACGCGTATAAGTACTTTGAAATATCGACGTTAGTAATAAAGTTCGTGTCGTAATACGAATACAAGTGCACTGTTACGCGTTTATTAGCTGCAAGAGGTGTAGAGATATAATAACGAAACCTCGTCCTCCTTCGTCTTTATCCATTTTTCCCTTTTACATCACTATTCATCTCCGTCCATCTTACTTTTTACATTATTATCGGAATAATGATGGTTGGTTGAATTTACGATAGGATATCATCCCGTATAATTATTACCATGCTCGATAGGGAAAAAGTATGTGAAAAGTCAACGATAAAATGGCGCACGATTTAACGACTTACACGTAGAATATCTGAATCCTTCGTGTTTGTCTTTTTCTTTTCCTATTCTTTTTATTTTTCCTATTTATTTCTCTCTCTCTCTCTCTCTCTATCTCTCTCTTAAATTTTTTTTTTTTATATACTTCCCGACATTGTTCACGATGGGATTAATTAACGAGTTCTAACATAATACTAAAGTTTCATATAGTTTTCTATAATTCTTATTTTATTCAATGCATTCGATGCATCTCCAAAAAGAAAAAAAAACGAATACCCACGCTAGATGCAATTTATATATATATATATATATATATATATATTTCTTTTTCGATTGATTTGATATAGTCGATGACGTCAAACGATATCGCACGCACAGTACAAACAATTTCGCCAATTATTGAATTTGCATTAAGGGAAAAAAGAACAGAGAGAGAGAGAGAGAGAGAGAGAAAGAGAAAGAGAAAGAGAAAGAGAGAAAGAGAGAAGAAGAGGGAGGGAAGAGAGAGAAAAAGAGAAAGATGATCTCTTTTTTCTTTTCCATTTATTACTATTATTATTATTATTATTATTATTATTATTATTATTATTATTATTATTATTATTATTATTATTATTATTATTATTGTCATTTTTTTTAGCACGAAAAAAATTTTTCAAATGTTTATTTCTGTTTTTTTTTTTTTTTTTTTTTTTTTTTTTTTTTATACTAACACGGTGTTATCAGTAATCTTATCTCAATTGATATCATTCAAGGATATCGTTTCAAACAAAACTCAAACGTAAATATTAATAATTACTTTATGTATTAATCCATAATAATCGAGTAAGTACTCGAAAAAATGGTAAAAATTATGAGAAATCGTTCATTCGTTTAACGCTACTTTTCACTCACGATCGAAATTCTCGTAAGGCTGGTAGAAGTTAATTAATCGAATGGCGAACGTGTGGCGGCGTCAAAGGGGGAGGAGAGACAAAGTATCGCCGAGCATTTCGTTTCGTTTCGTTTCGTTTCGGCTACGATAAAAACTAACGAGAATCGACGAATGCAAATCTCGTTTAGCCGATAACGCGGCTCGATATTTAAATGACTTTCATTAATCTTCGGCGATGCATCCGATGTAACCCGGCGAAGTCATTTAATAAGTCCGCTTCTGGTGTAATCTAAAAATGGATTCATGGGAACAACAGTTGCGTTCCATTTTGCGAAAGAGAGACAGGAATAGGGATGGAAAGAGAGGAAAAGAGAGAGAGAAAGAGAGAGAGAAAGAGAGAGAGAGAGAAAGAGAGAGAGAGAGAGAGAGCAGGTGCATACCTTTGATCGATAGTTCTGGATTTGCCGGAAGGAAAGGAAGCCACCTGAAATTCAGGAAAAATAAAATTAAACGAACGTTTCACCTTTATGCTTTTTATTCGACGACTCTCGTCCATAACCTCTATGCCCTCATCTCTTTCTCTCTCTCTCTCTCTCTCTCTCTATCTCCTCCTCCTCCTCCTCAACATCCAACACTAACACCAATATCAACGCCAACACCAACATTTATGAACGGAAAAAAAAAAGAGAGAAAATAATATGAAGTGGTAAAATCCAAGAGAATACGATTAAATTAAAAAAGATGAGATACCTCCTAAGAGATAGGTAGTATAAATAAAATAATTAAGGGTCGGAGGTAGCATTCTCACGGGCAACGAGGTGCTTTTAAAAAAACGTAAACTTGAGAAGGAAGAATGAAAGAAAAAGAGACAGAGAAAAGAGAGAGAGAGAGAGAGAGAGAGAGAGAGAGAGAGAGAGAGAGAAAGGTAAAGAGAGAGAGAGAGAGAGAGAGAGAGAAAGGTAAAGAGAGAGAGAGAGAGAGAGAGAGAGAGATGACGCTGGTTTAATAATGCTCAGTAAGGAACTTCAGAAAAAGAAAAAGAAAAAGAAAATAAGAAAAGATTGAAACTTAAGATTTAACGTTAAAAAGAAAAAAGAGAGAGAGAGAGAGAGAGAGAGAGAGATGAGGAATGATATACATATTCATTTCTCATTCACTTTGAAAGCTACGAACAGATCAATCTGATAATATCAGTCGATCGTATAAAATCATCGAATAAACTTGAATCTATGCCGAAAGATATTGACATGGTACTATGCGTATATAGACTTATGTATCTAACATAAGATATATATATATATATATACATATATATGTGTATATATATATGTGTGTGTGTGTATATATATGTACCTGTCTCTATGATATTATATATTTAGAACACATGCATATCTGTGTAAGTTTATCCGTGTGACGTGCGATATTCCATGAATACTCAACGTACCAACGGGCTTGTACAACCAAGGCGATACTTTTGAATAATTCCATTGTGCAATGAAAATCGAACATTTTTCGGCTCCCTATTATTCTCAGTTCACGTGATAACCAAACGGGCGAGAGTTCGAGAGTTCGGACGTTCTTTTTATTTATCATCGAACGTACAATTGTTTAACAAACAATATTCTTCCTCGATTTTTCATTATATTCTTTTGTTCTTTTCTTGTTCTCTTTTTTTCTCTTTGTTGTTGTTGTTGTTTTTCTTTTCTTTCTTTCTTTATATATCTATTATCCGAGAAGTAAGAAATGAGCGAAGAGAGAGAGAGAGAGAGAGGGAGAGAGAGAGGAAATGAGCAAGAGAAAAGAAAAATGTCGCCTCGATGGGGTTCAAGATGGTGGAATAGGAGGTCGCCCCCCCCCTTCCCCGGTGGGGAGGAGGAGAAAGAAAAATAAAGAAATTAAAAACTAAAAAAGAAAATGCGAAAGTCGGCAGATTGGGTTAAAAGATATTGAAAATGAACTCTGGAAACGTGAGGCCATAAGTTTTGGCTGTTATGTAAGAGAATTAAAAAGGGGAAGAGGATAGAGAGTGGGGCAGACGTATAATGAATGAGAGAGAGATAAAGAGAGAGAGAGAGAGAGAGAGAGAGAGAGAGAGAGAGAAGGATGAAGAAGAATAAGATTAAGTAAAGAAATGATGGTGGAGTCCGATGTAGAACGCAACGAAGCAAGAATTCTTAATTATACATATGTAGGTGTATATACATATATATATATATATATATATATATATATGTATATGTATGTATATATACACATTTATATATCGTCGGCATCATGGTCCCACCGTTTCAAAGGTTCGTCTGGTTCTACGTTTGTGGGTTGTGTAGTTTCCCTCGATAGATATTCCAGTTAAGATAAGATGGTAAGGCGACGACGCGTCTTGTGCATTCTCTAAGAAAGAAGAAGTTGAAGAGAAGCTTTTGAAGAGTAGTCGAGTAAGAAGAAGAAGAAGAAGAAGAAGAAGGAGGAGGAGGAG